TCAGTAATAAAGAGCTGTCTTAATGGCAACCACATAACAAGTGTTGTTAATTGTTGCAAAAACTCATCTGCTTCGCTAATATCCTTTGAAGAAAGAAGCTGCCATCCTTACCTGGTCTGGCCTGCATGTGACTCCAGACCCACAGAAATGTGGTTGACTCTTACCTACCCTCTGGGCAATTAGGGATGGGGTAATAAATGCTGGGCCTAACTAGTGACACCCACATTCCATGAACAGGTAAAAGCCTGAGTAAAACTCCCCCGACTGGATAATAGAAATCCTGTTTTTGAAAGTATTTTTTCAGGTTGAGTGTAGCTTGGTTTTGAACCATGATACGTGACTGAGCACGTTAAGGGGCTTGGGGATGTTGGGATTTGCAGCTAGTGTTTACTACAGTAGCATTGCTGTGACCTCCACTCGATTGGAAGTGGGGAAAGACTGTCTGTTCTCAGCAGTGCAGCTTCAGGCTTGCATTCGTGGAGAAGTCAGACTTGGTTTTCAATGTTAAGAGCAACTCTTCCTCCTATCTGTGCCTTTAAAGAAGGTGCATTTATATTACATTCCAACGGAGCCACAGCAGCAGCTATCAGGATTGTTGACATAGATTCTAAGGAGAGGTTAATGAGGAATAGTCTAACCGTCAGGGCCTGGCCAGGTGAAGCCAGAGTCTCCAATGCTGATATGAAGAAATTCCAGTCAAATTGGCACAACAGGATCATAAGTGGAGCTGCTGAGGGACACTGATGGAAGTAGGAGACGTATAATAAATCAGTCGATAATGACGGAATATTTTTAAAAAGTCAGTACATTAATCATGGGTGACTTTAATCTTCAAATTGAGAAAACTTAGTCAGCAGAGGAAGCCACAAGGAGGAATTTATTTGTATCTGGGAGTATTCAAGACCATTTCCTCGAACGGTGAATCCAACCAGGTTATTGTGGATCTGGCAATGTGTAATGAGGCAGGTTTAATAAAGTATTTCAGAGGAAGACATCCCAATGAAAGAGTGACTGTAACATTGCAGAATTTATCTTTCACTTTGAGAGTGAGAACCATGAGTCAGAAACAACTGTGCTAAACTTAGATAAGGCTAATTGTAAAGGAATGAGGGCTGAAGTGGATTGAGAAAGAAGTTTAGCATATGAAAAGAAAGTGAATAAACAATGGCAGATATTTGAGAAAATAGTTCATGACTCAAAACAAAGGTATGTCCAAGTGAGGAAGAAAGATTCTAGGAAGGAGTAAACTGGCCAGGGTTAACCAAGGAAGTTGAGAATCGGATAAAGTGGAAAGATAACCAGACATTGTGATAAATTTTAGTGGTAAACCAGACAATTGGGAAAATTGTAGAAGCCAAAAAAAACCAAAGTGATAAGGAGGGAGAAAACTAACTATGAGGGTAAACTAACAAGTAATATAAAAGCAAATTATAAGGTATTCTTTAAATATATATAATGAATGGGAGAGGCCAAAGTAAACAGAGGCCTCTCAGAGGTCTGTGCATAACAAAAAATAATACGGGGAAAGTTGTTTGTTCCCCTTTGTGGAAAAGTCTAGCACCAGAGGGCATCACCTCCGAATAAGAGGTCACCCATTTAAGACAGAAATGAGGTTTTGTTTTCTCTGAGAGTAGTGAATCCCTGGAATACTTTTCCACAGCAAGCTGTTGAGGCTAGGTCAATATTGAAGTCTGAGAAGCACTGATCCCTAATCATTGAGGGAATTGAGGGTTATGGGATAAGGCAGGAAAGTGGAAGTGAGGATTATCGGTTCAGCCAATGACTGTATGACAGGGGAAAGATTTAAAAGGGACCTAAGCGGCAACTTTTTCATGCAGAGGGTGGTGCGTGTATGTAATGAGCTGCCAGAGAAGTAGTGAAGGCTGGTATAATTACAACATTTAAAAGGCATCTGGATAGGTATGTGAATAGGAAGAGTTTAGAGGGATATTGGCCAAACACTGAGAAATGGGACTAGATTTATTTAGGATATCTAGTCGGCATGGATGAGTTGGACCGAAGGGTCTGTTTCGGGCGGTACAACCCGATTACTCTAACTGCACATTGGGGTAGTCTGGTTATCGGAGTGGCCAGAATTTCTGCTTGCATTTACCTTTTTATGCTTCTGTTGCTATCACAGGTTTGGTTTTGTCCAAGACAAGTACACTGCTTCAGCCTTTAACTTCCCTGCAGAGAACAAGCCACAGTATATTCATGTCACTGGTGAGTTCTAGCTTTCGGGTTCCAGGCTTGGTATATTCATGTGGCACTCAGAGTGACTGTAAGGGACCACTTCACTGGGAAATATTGTTATGGATCAGACCGAGCCCCCTCAAATCACATCAAGGAAGTAGACTAGACCTTAACTTTTTTTCTTATTTACAGGCAAGTGTAACGTGCTGTATTCCAGATGTGATTCGATTGGTCAAACTACTAAGCTCTAAGTAATACATACTTTATTCTTATAACTCAGTTAAAATACAAACAAAGAAGAAATGGCATAACTTTGGCTCTGTCAAAATATTTAACAAAATAATATATTTTAACTCCTACTCATCAACTGTTCCAATATAGCAGCATCCGATAAACACCCCCTAGACACAGACAAATTCAGCAAAACAGATTTCCATTACTTGCTATCTCCAGTCCAGGAGAAGGAACACTGACAGAATGAATCTAGCAGTAGAGAGAGAACTCAAGCTTTCTGTAATAGCAGAGAGAGAGCTGTATCTAGCAGCTTCAACTCCAAAACAACCCAACTTTCCCACTGAAAGTAAAACTAAAACCCTGGCTGTGTGTGAGCCTGACTGCACCCATTCATGCTTCTTTTGTCTAATTTTTAAAAAAGCAAAGCTATTACTTTGCTTTGCATGAAGCAAACACCTAAGCACCATTTTTTATCATCTTTTAAGATGAACAGGGCAAAACAAATCTCTCTTAAAGTTATATTCCATTACATATGATTTCTTGACCACCCAGAAGCTCATTTCTCCTGTCACTTGGGTTATCCTGAGCCTCGTGCACAAGCTACATTGTTCCATCAAAAGTAACATCTTTTTTCTTAATACTCTGTTTTTCCACCTAGTTATAGTCTTCTTTCTTTGTCTGTATTTCAGCTGAGAGCATCAATCCCACTGTCCCCGATGTATCCCAGAAGTTATGATGATGCAGGAAGAGGCCATTCAGTCCATCAAGCTTGCACTATCTACCCAAGTGTTTTGCATTAGTGCTTTTTCCCTGAAACCCTGCATATTGGATTAGTTAAAGAGAAAGAATGCCCTCATTGATCTTGCCTTCACTACATTTCCAGGCAGTGCATTCCGAATCCAGACCACCTGCTGGATGAGAGAAGTTTTTTTATGATCTTGCATCTGCTTCTTTTGCAATTTGCTTTCAAACTGTGCCCTGTGGTTCTCAATTCATTTACAAGGGGAACTGTTTATCCTCGACTACTCTGCCCCGGACCCCTCATGAATTTGTAAACTTCTAACGGGTCATCCCATGGCTTTCTCCTCTGCAAAAGACAGTCTCACTGTCTCCAATCTCTCCTCATAACTGATGGTTCTCATCACTGGAACCATTCTCCTAAACCTGTTCTTCACTCTGTCCAGTGTGTTCATATCCTTCCTATCGTGTAGCGCCCCAAACCGTACGCAGTACTCCAGCTGAGCTCTAGCCAGCATCTTATGTAAGTTCATCATAACCTCCCTGCTGTTGTACTGTAAGCCACGATTAATGAAGCCTTGAATACTGTATACTTTATTAACTGTTTTCTCTATCTGTCCTGCCACCTTTAATGACTTATGCACATGTACATCCAGGTCTCCCTGCTCTTGCACACCATTTAGAATCATACTCTTTTTGTACTGCCTCTCCTAGTAATTTATACCAGAATGTATCACCTCACACCTCTCTACATTGGACTTCATCTGGTACCCAGTCACCTGCTTCTTCAACATTTCAATATCTTTTTGAGGTTCTAGACAGTTCTCTTTTCACAGTTTGTAATTCTCCCTAGTTTTGAACCATTTACAAACTTTGAAATTGTCCCCTGTATAAGACCATAAAATATCAGAGCAGAATTAGGCCTTTCAGCCCATCGAGTCTGCTCCACCATTCAATCATAGCTGATATGTTTCTCAACCCCATTCTGCCTTTTCCCCGTAACCCTTGCTCCCCTTACCAGTCAGGAACCTATCTATCTCTGTCTTAAATACACTCAATGACTTGGCCTCCACAGCCCTCTGCAGCAATAAGTTCCACAGAGTCACCACCCTCTGGCTGAAGAAATTCCTCCTCATCTCAGTTCTAAAAGCTTGTCCCTTCGCTCTGAGGCTACCAAGATCTAAATCATTTATCAATGTGTCTGCTCAATCCCACTGTCCCCAACATGTCTTTGGAAATGATTAGATGACAAACGCAGTGATGGTGCGAAGTAAAAGAGGGTTTGGTGTTAGATAAATTTAGCAAAAAAGGAGGTAATTTAGACTGGCTAACTTGCTGATGCATGCAGCCAGCCTGGCCTTAATAGACTGAATGGTCTCCTTTGGTGTGAAACAGATGAGGTGTAAATGATTACAGCACAACCGGGAAGTATGGAGTCTGGCTGAGCAGCAAAAATGGCTGCAGTGTTGGCATAAGGAAGATGGGTACAGACCATGCACTTGGACATCCTTCACTTGGCATCAGGCCACAGCTCCCTGTGCCTGGGATGTGTCCATCCTACAGGCCTCACATCTGCTGTTAGAGAGAAAATGAGGGCAGTGCTTAAGAGCTCATTATGTTACAAATTCCCAAGGGAAGCTGTAAAAGAGGTTTGTTTACCGCTGTAAACATAACGTCAGGGTGAAAAGTAGAAGGTGAAGCCAGTAGTTTCTCCCTGAGATGGAGATGGAGATGGAGATGTCCCAGTCTGCAGAGACAGCCTGTTAACATAATATTGCTGGTTTTCTCCGCTTCTCCCAGGTACGGTTTTCCTTCAGTTGCCATATTCGAAACGCAAGTTCACGAGTGGCCAACAGAGACGGCGAAGGAACTCCACCAGCTCCAGCACCCAGAGCCTCTTCGGTGAGGAGAGAATTGGCTACAACTGGGCCTATAACACTATGCTGACCAAAACGTGGCGCTCCAGTGCCACCGGCGATGAGAAATTCGCTGACCGGCTGCTCAAGGACTTCAGTGACTTCTGCTGCAACAAGGAGAACCGTCTGCTCAGCTTCTGGGAGAGCTGCCTGGAGAAAATGCATTCCAGTGCACCCTGAGAGAGAGAGATCCGGAATATGGCAGCTGGGAAAGCTCAGGGATCCTGGTCACATTGTGGATATCCGGCCAGCACTACTTCCATCTGTCCTTTACCCATTGGAGTACATTCAGTACCATCACTGGGGGTGGGTTGTCATTCTGCGATGTGTTGCTGGTCTGCAGTGCTAGGCACTCTTATTGTCTCCACACCTGAGCTTTTCCCTGACGATTTCTGTAATGTCCTGGTTGACCTTGTCAATGCTTCATGGTCGAACTGACTGTAGTTCCAGGTTTCAGCCTGATTTCAGCTGGCCTGGCTAAAAAGGATTAGCGAATCTGATCAGTCAGGCTGGGAACAAATTCCTGGGACTCCTGGCAGTGACAGCTATGAAAGTAATTGTGGAGAAATTCCGAGAGGAAGGAGCTGTGATTCCTCCATCATCTGGTCAAATCTCTCTGTGAACAAACTGCTCTCTCAAAATGACCTTGCCTGCTCGCTATGCTTCGGGCTTGTTTCCAAGCTTGGTTTCTTGAGCTCATTAAAATGACTGACCCCAGTGCCCACACTTTCTGAGGGATGTGGCTGTGCAGTTGACTGTGCTGAGAGATCGTATCCAGATAATGACACACGAGGATTTGTTGAGACTATTGTGTGTGTGGAATACTTTCCCTTTGCAAGAAAACTGAAGGAATGGAATGGCACAAATCTTCAAGAAGGAGAATGTTCCAATGGAAATATTAACTTGGCCAAATGTAGTCTTGTATAAACTTGCCTGGGCTTATTGTTGTATGGCACGGTGCTGATCATGAGGACCAGACAGTGACTGCTTTCTGAACTGTGACCTGTCTCCAGTGTATGAGCCCTACAGGCACTTGTACACACTGCCGGCCAGATCACGAGCTGTTTCATTCATTGTGTCCTTTGAGCGTTTTGTTCATATTCCCCGTTGTTTAGTCCTTCCCCCTCCCCATGAAGCACACCTAACGCTGGGGCATACATTCTCCACTAGTTTGGAATTGCCTGCAGCAGGTATAAGAATCTAATGAGGATTCTGGCACTGGGGAGGAGAGGAAGATCCAGAGACGAGGTTCAATCGAATCTCAAACACTTCGATGAAATAGACCCTAAATATGAGCACTGAAGTTTCAATCTATTTATATAATTTGCACAATGTTCATCTACACTCCTCAGTTGTCAGGGTTATGTGAACAGGTAGACAAAGCACAAAGTATATGCCATCCTCCATGGACTGTTTCCTGAGTGTATTAACCCAGTCCCTCCCTGCACAGCGCCCCTTGAGTGTGGTAGACCCCATCACTGCTGCGTGGGTCCATATTGGAGATATTACTCTGTGAAGACAATGGAGTTGGTAAGTAGATAATGTCCAAGTATCAGGGGCAAACTTGGGCTGATATTTATTCTTCATGGTTTCCGTATCAAATGTTGGAGTATCTCATTGCAATTCCTGAACGGGGGGGGACTGCGGAAGGTTGTTTAAGATAGTGTGCAATCCTCTTCATACCTCTTCTCTTGCCAGTGATTGAGCTGTAACAACCAGAGCGCCCACTTGGTATATGACTGTGGCTGTTGGTCAGTAGGATTTAGTCCATTGCCTGTACTCGGACTGGTCCTGACCTTATCAATGTACTTGACTGATGGATCTAAAGAGAAGCAAACTCCAAGAACATATCCTGAGCTTGATCTTCAAAATTTTATATTTGCAAATAAAAAAAAACATTTTAAAAAATTGTCATTTGTTGTCCAATTTTTTAAATTCTATGTAGAAAATTATTGGGCTGAGCAATTGAATGACCACAAAAGATTTTTAAAATCTCTCAAATACACTTCCCATCTCCGTAAGACCAGAAGACGTAGAGCAGAATTAGGCTATTCAGCCCATGGAGACTGTGCCATCATTTGATCGTGGTTGATCAGGAAAGGAATACGAACATTGCATTTGTCTTCCTAAATGCCAACTAAGCCTGCATGTTAACCTTAAGAGAATCCAGAATAGGATCCCCACTTTGTGCTTCAGATTGCCAAAGCCTTTACCCATTTAGAAAACAGTCTCTGCCTCTATTTTTCTGACCAAAGTGCATAACTCACACTTTCCCACATTGTATTCCATCTTCCACTTATTCGCCCGCTCCCCTAGCCTATCCAAATCCTTCTGCAGCCTCCCTGTTTTCTCTAAACTACCTGCCCCTCCACCTATCTTAGTTGCTAAGTTTGAAGATGACACAATGCCCTCAGTTCCTTTGTCCAGATCGTCAATGTATAAAGTGAATAGTGTGATCCCGACACTGACCTCTGCAGAACTCCACCAGTCACCAGCTGCCATCCTGAAAAAGACCCCTTTATCCCTACTCTCTGCCTTTTTCCAGTCAGCCAATCCTCTAACCTTGCCCCTATCACCATGAGCTCTTATTCAACAGCCTCCTGGGCAGTACCTGGTCAAAGGCTTTCTGGAAATTCAAATAGATCATTTCAACAAAGGGGAGCTTACTCATTATGTCCTCAAAATTCGAACTAATTTGTCAGGCATGATCTCCCCTTGATGAAGTTATGCTGACTCAGCTTTATTTTACCATGCACTTCCAAGTACTCCTTAACAATGAACTCTAAATCTTTTTAATGACCAAGGTCTATAATTTCATATCTTCTGCCCCCCTCCCTCTTTAAACAGGAGTGTTGCATTAGCCATTTTACAGTCCTCTATGGGAGCATCCCTGACTCTAGTGATTCCTGAAAGATCACCACTAATGCATCTACAATCTCCTCCGCTATCTCCTTCAGAATCCTGAGGTGTAGTCCATCGGTCTGGGTGATTTATCCACATTCAGACCTTTCAGCTTCCCCAGCACCTTCTCCTTAGTGAGGGCCACCACGGCCACCACACCCACCTCTGCCCCCAATTGTCTTGAAGTTGTGGTATACTGTTGGTATCTTCCACTGTGAAAACCGATGCAAAGTACCTATTCAGTTCCTCCACCATTTCTTTGTTCCCCAATTGGTACTACTTTAGGCTCTCTCTTATCTTTTATATCTCAGGGAAAAAAAAAACTCTTGCAATCTTCTTTTATGTTAGCTAGCTTACTCTCATATTTCATCTTTTACCCTCTTTATTCCTTTTTTTAGTTATCCTTTGCTGGTTTTTTAAGGCTTCCCAGTTCTTGCATTGGTGTCACATTGTATGCTTTTTCTTTTGCCTTTATGCTGTCCCTGACTTCCCTTGTCAGCCATGATTGCTTCATCCTCCCTCTGGCTATCTCAATAAATAATCACTTGGTTTTTCTTTTGTTTTGAGCTTTAAATTGCAAAAGCAGCATAAACCTGGCATTAATCAGAGAATCCCTGCAGTGTAGAAGCAGACCATTCAGCACATTAAGTCCTAAACAACCCTTCAAAACATCTCCCACACCCTATCCCTGTAATCCTGTATTTTCCATGGCCAATCCAGCCTTGGACTGTGGGAGGAAACCAGAGCATCCAGGGAAACCAGGAGAAAGTGCAAACTCCACACAGACAGTTGCCCGAGGGTAGAATCAAACCTGGGTCCCTGCTGCTGGGAGACAGCAGTGCTAACCACTGAGCCACCATGCCACCCCTTTGAGGCAGCACTGGAACAGGAACAGGCCATCAGCCCCTCCAAGTTGCCTCGCTATTCAACTTGATAATGGCTGATCTACTGTAATGCCTTTTTCATTTACTATTCCTGAATTTCTTGCCTTTTTGCAAAGTAAGTGAGACCTCCTCCTCCTTTAAGATGCACCTTAAAAACCGATCACAGTTATTCATTCAGTTGGAGCAATCCCTTTTAGTGTAAACTAAAATTTTAGTGTAAAATATCCATTGGAATGAAGCAAATGGAAAAACAAGCCACAGACAGGATAGTGAAGGTGGGGTTCGGTATGCTTGTCTTTATTGGTCAGTGCATTGAGCATAGGAGTTGGGAGGTCATGTTGTGGCTGTACAGTACATGGGTTAGGCCACTTTTGGAATACTGCATTCAATTCTGGTCTCCCTGTTATAGGAAGAATGTTGTAAAGCTTGAAAGGGTGCAGAAAAGATTTAATTGTACATTTAATTGGACGTTGTCGGGGCTGGAGGGATTGAGCTACAGGGAGAGGCTGAATAGGCTGAGGCTATTTTCCCTGGAACTCCAGTTGCTGAGGAGGTGACCTTATAGAGGTTTATAAAATCATGAGGGACATGGATAGGGTGAAGAGCCAAAGTTTTTTCCCAGGGGCGGGGAAGTCCAAAACTAGAGGGCATAGGTCAAAGGTGAGAGGGGAAAGCTTTAAAAGAGACCTAAGGGGCAATTTTTTCACACAGAGGGTGGTGCGTGTATGGAATGAGCTGCCAGAGGAAGTGGTGGAGGCTGGTACAATTACAACATTTAAAAGGCATCTGGATGGGTATATGAATAGGAAGGATTTAGTGGGATATGAGCCAAATGCTGGCAAATGGGACTAGATTAATTTAGGATATCTGGTCAGCATGGACAAGTTGGACTGAAGGGTCTGTTTCCGTGCTGTATGGCACTATGACTCTATAAATCTAAAGGAAAGCAGCCAATCTGCAGACGCATAGACAGTCATTCAGCATCTGCAAGTGCCCTAACGTTTGGAAACCTCCGCTCCAGGAGAAGGAGCAGCTTTGATGAAAACAAACCTGGATTTTTATGTGGCATCATGACACTGATTGAAATCAAACCCCACTCTTCCACAAGTTGTCACAAGTGACTCATTTAATCACTAGGATGGTTAGTGTGCCTGACTGTGACCACCAGAAAAGATAAACGAAACTCGCACCAGGTTTCATGAATAAACAAAATACTGAAAACCTACTTTTTATGAGCAAATGTATCCCTTAACCAGTGGAAAGATTACTAACTTGCAACCTTAAGCAATACTCCCTTTAAATCTGAACACACACTCACAAAGAGGATGCAACTTTGCAAGAATATCGCAGATGGAAACTTTAGAAAAAAAGGGACAAAATCTGTGGATGAAGAGTCCAAATCCCAAGGGAAAATGAGGTGCCTTTCTCACATTTCTTTTGGTTGTTGTCTCCCATGGTGATCCTCAATTTGTTAGCTGGTCAGTTTGACCTAGGTATTTGCTTGAATTAGAAATTCTCCTCTTTGCAGGTTTCTGACAGGCAGTGAGGAATTGTCCCTCAAATCTGTGACAAACTTCAACTTAAGACCAATCCAAATATTGTTGCTGGGCAGTTTTCGGTTTGAAACCCAAAGGCACCTGGTGCCAGATTGTTCGAAACAATCTTCTTAACAATATTTCATGACTTTGTATAACCAATGAGTGTGCAGCACATAATTCCACCTTTGCTTCAAGTTATATAAAAAAAAAATCTTTCTCTGAAACACAGCAGTCCAAATTTGCATTTTCCAGTTTGTATTTCAAATAAAATACGTGTGGTGTACAGGCAAGTGGGGATTTAATTACCACATGTGTTAGCTAAAGTTTGACTCCTCATGCTGTGACTATAAATTAGCTGGTTCAGTACAAGCAGAAAATGCACATCTGCTGTGTTAACACCATCTCCAGTGCACAGCCCAAATACAGAGACAATGTCAGGTGCAAGAGAAAGGCCATGTATCGATCTGCAAAACCAGTTCAGCACATCACCCTTACATCAAGGGTAGAAATAGTGGAAACAGAAGATCAGCTGAGACTATCTTGTGACAAGATTAAAATGGGACATAGAGTTTTAGACTGTGTAGTACAGACAATTGTATACCGCTCTGAAAATTGGTCTTCATTTCAAATCTACAAATTGAGCTTGCAGTTTGGAGTGGCACAGTGGTTAGCACTGCTGCCTCACAGCACCAGGGACCTGGGTTTGATTCCATCCTCTGACCACTGTCTGTGTGGAGTTTGCACATTCTCCCCATATCTGCGTGGGTTTCCTCTGGGTGTTCTGGCATCCTCCCACAGTCCAAAGATGTGCAGGTTTGTGGGATTGGCCATGCTAAAAAGCCCACAGTGTCACAGGAATGTGCAGGCTAGATTGGGTTAGCCATAGAGAAATGTAGGGATAGAGTAGGGGGGAGGGTCTGGGTGTGATGCTCTGTGGAGTGGGCTTGTTGGGCCAAATAGCCTGCTTCCACACTCTAGGAATTCTAAGTTTGAATTTAATAGCTGTGGACCCTCTGAGAGAGGATAAACATATATCCATGTGCTAAAAGAGAGCCCACCTTCTAGCACCTCCCATAAGGGGAAAACGTCCCCTGGTCATACACTATCTACAGTGTGGAAGCAGGCCATTTGGCCCAGCGAGTCCACACTGAGCATCCCACCCACCTACCCCTGTAACCCTGCATTTTCCATGGTCAATCCACTTAACCTGCACATCTTTTGGACTGTGGGAGGGAAACCAGAGCACCCAGAGGAAGCCCACACAGACTCAGGGAGAGCATGCAAAGTCCATACACATGGTCTCCTGAGGGTGGGATCAAACCCAGTGTCCCTGGCACTGTGAGGCAGTAGTGCAACCACTGTGTCACCCTGTCAAGTTGTTTTGTTTCCCTGGCACTGTGAGGCAGTAGTGCTAACCACTGTGTCACCCTGTCAAGTTGTTTTGTTTCTTCAACCGAGTCAAATTCCTTCAATCATCTGAACCTGGTAATTTTTTTGTAGCCTGATTATGTTTTAGATGAAAATAATGAATATAGTCAGACCCAATGATACATAAATATTCAGGATCGGGCACTGTACTTGAGAA